ACTTCACACGTCATAACCCTGTGAATTAAGACTGGACAAAAGTTTTTGTCATTTTACGTAGAAGAACAGAGGTTAAGAGACAGCAAGTGATTTGCCTAAGTCCACACTACTCCTAAATGGGAAAAAGCTCTAGAATCCAGGACTTTGGTTACCTAGGCTTGTGTTCTTTCTGCCTAACCATAATAAAAATATTACTTTTATTTTTAAAATAGCCTATTTACGATGTGACAGGTCAGTGATTCTCAGCTTCGGCTGAACATTAAAATCCCCTGGGCTACTTTAAAAAGTAATTCCCATGCCTGGGCACCACCCCAACCAAATACATCAGACTCTGTGGGTAGGGTTCCAGGCATCCATGAGTTTCATTAACTATCCCAGGTGACTCCAATGTAGAGTGTCAGGCGCCATTGTGTAGGTACTTTATAAATACCTCATTTAAACCTCATTACAATCCCATCAGCTAGGTAGTGTTACCCACGTTATAGGTGAGGAAACCAAGGCACAGAAAGGATAAGTCAATTGCCCAACTCACCTTGGATAGTCCCTATTACCACAATTCCCAAACTGTGTGTCACGGTGCTCCAAGTTGTCACAGTGAGGTTCCACAAGTTATTTGAAAATTTTCAGGGATAAATTACTCGTCATCTGTCAGGCATCATGTGCGCTATTTAGCTGAAGGCAACTCACCGCTTCTACAGTAGATGGCGCTACATGCCTTCCAATGACGTCACTTTTTTTGCAAAACTGGATTTTTCAACATGAAATCAGTGTGAAACAGGAAATGAGTCTGGTGGTGGTCACTCTGATTCCAAAGTTAGAGAAGCAAGGCAATGCCCAAGAGTCATAGATATCCCATTAGTAACTGTGGTAATTTAAGAATGAATTAAAATATTTTCTCTTTCAACTTTTGTGTCATTTTTTTCAAATGGCTATGTTGTTAGGACAAAAATATTTATTAAGTTGTTCGGACCTGACTACTTAATAAAGGGAAATTTGTGGCATTTGGGAAAAAAGGCACTGACACACCAAGGGCATCCACTCTAATGTCAAAGTCACACAGTGAAGACGCAGAGGGAGGATTTGAATTTGGTCAGTCTGAACTGACCCAGAGCCTGAACACTTAACCTCTCCCCTTTTTAAAAATATTTACTTATTTATTTATTTGGTTTCTCCGAGTCTTAGTTGTGGCATGTGGGCTCCTTAGTTGTTGCATGCTAACTCTTAGTTGCGGCATGCATGTGGGATCTAGTTCCTTTGACCAGGTATTGAACCCAGGCCCCCTGTATTGGGAGCGTGGAGCCTTAACCACTGCCCCACCAGGGAAGTCCATAACCTCTCCTCTTAACTGGGCTCTGTCAGTGCTTTCCTTCTGTGTCCTGTCCTAGATGCCAAACCTTAAACACTGAGTTAGGAGTCAGCCTGGAAATGGTAGAACAGACATAAATTGAACATTACTATCAGGACCACAAATTATTACCATGTCCTTTGGCAAGTTACAGAATGTCCTGAGCCTCAGTTTCTTCATCTGTAAAATGGGGATAGCAACATCTACACTACAGTTGTTGTGAGGATTAAACAAGATAAAAATCATAAAGCACCTGGTATAGAACTGGTACTCAATAAATGTTCTTTCCCTTTCTTCCCTCCTCACTTCCATGACAGACCTGGAGGCAGAGGGACACACCAGTGTCCACAGAGGTGTGAAACACACACATGTAATCTAACCATCTGCCTGTGCCCAATTGTCAACCTCAAGCACATTGTATATACACACATATATACCTATAATCACAGCACCTCGGCGATTAAATCAGCACAAAATAAACTGACAGAACAATGAAGCAAATAAAGTTCTTGAACTCACTCCCCTTTCTCCACATGGCCTCCATGAATAGCTACTGCTATGGAGAGATCCTCTGCCAGCCCCACGGTATCATGCAGACTCAGATCCATGCCACTCTGCCTCTCCAGTTGCCCAGTATATCACTGTACATGACGCTGGACCAAAGGGCTGCTCAGGACCTAAAAACATCTTCCATTTCATCTCAACACACACTCGCCCGCCATTGGTTCTTAGCAGCGTCAGCCCCTGAACAGATGACCACCTTCCCAACGTGTTACTCACAGGAGGAAAACCCTACAACCAGCCAAGGTACCTGAGCTTTCACCTTTAGATATTATTTCTTTGGGCTTGAAGGCTTTTTATAAAATAGAACTCTCTCTGTAAATCTTATGTCTTACCTGGCAGGTGGTTAAACTTCAGGTCAGCTTCTGGGGAGGAAGTGAAAGAAGAATCAGTGTCCCAAACACATTCATCTCATACATACCTAGTGAGCATCTACTATGTGGTAGGCACAGGGGCATGGGCATGAACAAAGTGCAGTCACTGCCCTCAAGGCTTATGGTCTAAAGGACACAAACTAGGAAACAGGTAATTACAAATCCCATGTGATATACGCTAATACAGGAAGGAAGTATAGGCATATGGGGGTACATAAGAGGGACAGAATCCAGACTTAGAGAATCAGCAAAGACTTCCTGGAAGAAGTGAGATCTAGACTGAAACTTAAAGGATGAAAAGGAGTTAGCCAAGTGAAAAAGGTGGGGAGCATTCCAGGTATAGAAAGCAGGAGTACACAGGATAAGGTCCAGGGATAGAAAAGCATAGTGGGAATTAGGTGCCTACAATTGTGCAAAGGGTTGGGACATGGTTATGACCTGCTTTTGAGTCTTTTCAAGTCCAAATCCAGGCAAAATTTTCATGTAACAACTATTTACTGAACTCCCACCACGTGCAAAGAGTCTCTGCTGATGTGGGGAGGGTGTGTGTATGTGAGGAAACCTACATACCACGACAGTAAGGGCCCCACATTAACCTTCCCTATCTTGCCACGTCTGGACACCACCTCCTTAAGACTCTCATGATCCCAGGCTGGCATCCTACGTTGATGGCAGGCCTGGTTTGAGTCTTGGTTCTCATGTGTCCTAGCTATGGACATGCTTTGCATTCTGGCAGCCCTGATGAGAGAGTTCCAGCCTCAGGCAGGGCTTGTATTTATTCACCCCTCAGCTTCCAGAGGCAGTGGGTCAGAAGTGAGGGGACAGGGCTTCCCTGGTGGCGCAGTGGTTGAGAGTCCACCTGCCGATGCAGGGGACACGGGTTTGTGCCCTAGTCCGGGAAGATCCCACATGCCGCAGAGCGGCTAGGCCCGTGAGCCGTGGCCGCTGAGCCTGCGCGTCGCGTACCGCAAAAAAAAAAAAAAAAGAAGAAGAAGAAGTGAGGGGACAAAGCAAGGTGGCACTGCACCCATTTTGAGCTTGAGAGGCCTGGAGACATCTCATTGCTCCTATCAGAAACTTAAACACAGGGAAAGGTGGCAAAGGTGATATTTACAAAAGTAGCAGAGGGTTGGATGCCAGCATTCTGACCACAGCTGTGGAAAGGACTTGGCTTATTCTATTTAAACCTTTGAAGTTCCCAGGTTGTGCAAGGCAGAAGGTTTGGTGTTGTCAGAACAGCCAATCTCAACATGCTTGCTAGCTCACGTCCACGTGGTAGCTCCTGGCATGATGTCCTGGGCCAGTCCAGATGTCCACCCCATCCTCGACTCCAAGCACCTAAAACACACACCTCACCACTTTTGTAAAACACCAAACTCACCATCTTTAAAAAAAAAAATTATAAGCAAAATCAGTCAGGATAGAAATGGTCCCCAAGGAGACAGTGCTTCTGAGAAGCCACTGAAGGCTTCAGGCCTGGCTGCTCAGTCCTTGACCTACTTGTAGCCAGGAAAGACCTATGCCCTTCCCAGCTTTTGGAAAGAGTCACTCTGGCCTTGCCTGCCTAGCCCAGATTTGCTGACCTCATGGGTGCAGGTGGAGGCTTAGGAGGACCTTTCACCTCCTTCCTGCCCACTCATTTCCCTGCTGCAGCCAGGTCCCTACAGAGGGCAGGCAGACACCTGTCACACACAGCCTGACTCCTCTGATGTGTGTTGGAGAGGGGGAGGGGAGGATGGTGTGCTGGACAGGGGACAGGAGTTTGACAGGACTCTGCCATCCTACAGGGATTTATGATTCTGGCCCACCCAGGTTTGGGGGGCTCCCTAGGGCGCGGGTAGCTGTGTGGCCATCTTCAGGAAGGTGGAGCAGCTGCCTCACTGGGCTCTGGGACCATTGCCTGCTGGAGGCCCCTCCACGAGAAGGACAGTCTGGACCCAGAGGGGTCTCACAGACAGACCCCTCTGCTAAGACCCAGAAGAGGGCAGACCTGGTGCCCCCAAGCCACCTCCGAGCCCTCCTACCCTGCCCCGCCCAGCAAGCAGGAATACTGGTTCCTGCGGTAGGTCGGTGAGGGCGGGACTCTCCCCGCCTCGATGTCTCTGTGCAGGATAAAGGTGAGGACAGGCTCCTTCCCCTTAAGGCAGCCCAGAGCAGTTTCCGGCTGAGTCAGTTTCGCGGGGAGAGCGGCTCAGGCGAGCTCAGGGCTCGGCTCGCCAGCAGGAATTTGCCCACTCCCCTCTTCCGGCTCTGGGCGGCCCCTGGCGCGCCCCTGGGCCCCTGGCCGGTGGATGGGCGGATGGACAGACGGCCGCGGGGGAGCCCCGAGCACCAGCCTGCTAGAGGGGAGCCGGGAGCAGGTGGGCGAGTGCGGGGTCCTGGGCCCCTCGGATTGCCGGAAGCCAGCGCTGTCCAGCCAGAGAAGGGACTCCTTGACGCCAGCAAGTCAGGTCCCTGCTTAGATTTCCCTTCCCACCTGGGACAAACTTAGTATCCTCCAGGCGCTTGCGTTAACGAGTGATATTTCCCCGATCAGGACTCTCCTAGTAAAGTAACTATTGTTGCTAAAAGGAAGAAGCTGTTGCTGCTGATGGCCCCTTCCACTCTCAAGAAGCACGAGGAAAAGATATCTAGACACCTGAGGCTTAAGTATGAAAGGGAGTGTAAGGGACAGTTAAGAGTATGGATTCTAGTATCCTGACCTGGGTTTGAGTCCTGGTTTTGCCATTTTTTTGAGCCGTGTCACCCAAGGTGAGTTTCTGTTGTTTCTCAGAGGCCAGTTTTTTCACCTGCAAAATGTATAATAATTCTTATTGCACCTGTTCCTCTAGGATTGCTGTGAGGATTAAAGGAGACAAACGTGGAACATGCTTAACACGGTGCCTGGCACATAGTACCAACTCAGTATGTGCTTGTAAAATGTGCCTTTTATTGGACAGCACTTCATCCCAAAGAGTGGGGATTTCACACAAAAGGAAAATATATTTGAACAGGCGGGTTTTGTATGGCCGCCCAAATCACAGAGTAGATGACAGCATGTTTCCCACCAGCCACTTCAGTTTCCCTCCTGGATAAAATGTAAGTGAGCAGGACCCTATGGGGCCTTCCCAGAACAGGAATACCCCTCTTTCCCCCCACGTCCTCTGCCTGCCTTTCGTCTGTAGAAAAACTAGTCAAAGAATAAATTTAATCAGAGAGGTGAGAAAATGCAGAAAGAAAGAAAAGCAGTCAAGCAAGACAAAGAAAGTCAAGGACCTGTAGTTCCGGCTCAAGGGCAATAGGTAATATTCTGAGCCAGGTCCTTTGAGCTGTTTTGCAGATACTGAAACTTCTTCTTCGTGGAAGAAGTTAACTGTATACCACCCACAAGAACATAGACCCCAGACCGGTTGGAACCAGAAGGTTGAAGATATCCACTCCCACCAACCCATCAGAGGAATGTCCATGAGCTGATCACACACACCACAATCCTCCTCCCTCACACTGTCTTTAAAAACCTTTCCCTGAAAACCTTCGGGGAGTTCAGGTCTTTTAAGCACTAGCGAGCGGCCCTGGATTCCTTGCTTGGTGCCCTGCAATAAACGCTGCACTTTCCTTCACCACCAACCGGGGTCAGTAGATTGGCTTTACTGCACGTGGGCAAGCGAACCTAAGTATGGTTCGTAACAAAAACAGTCCTAATTAAAGGCATCTAGGAACTAGGAAGCTAGAGTGCTTCCTAAAACTCCTAAAACGACCAATCCTCCCATCTGCCACTCCCCACCCCTACCCCCCGCCCTCCGCCCCACACAAGGTCTCAGCCCAGTCCCCCAGAGCCACAAGCCAAGAGGCAACGTAGATGTCTCCATGTTGGCTTCATACAATCAGTCTATTATTTGTTTTATTTTGCCACGCCGCTTGCGGGATCTGAGTTCCCCAACCAGGGACTGAAGCCGGGCCATGGCAGTGAAAGCCTGGAATCCTAACCACTAGGCCAACAGAGAACTTGATATTTGGTTTTTTAATCATAGAGTATAGATTCTTCCCCTCCCATTTGTCCTTGTAACTTACCATTGTCTAATCTAGAGTTGCTTTCTGGAGGCACGAAAAATCTCAGCTGAGTCTGAAAAGATAAATAAGAGTTCATCAGATAAAGGAAGAATAGGTCATTTCAAGTATTGAGACGAGCACAGGCAAGGCTCAGAGGCTTCCCAGGACATGTTCTGTGGAATAATATGCGGCTCTGTGTAAAGGAATCTAGGTCCCGGCTGAGGCACTATGGCATAAGAGCTTAGCACATGAACTCAGGGGCTATACTGCCTGGGTTTGAATTCCAGCTCTATTACTTACTAGCAAGTTACTTAAGTTCTTTGTGCCTCATCTAGAAAATAGAATCATAGTAATAATACCCAGCTCCTATTGTTGTTGGGATGACTAAATAAGTTGATACATGGAGAGAACTTAGAACAATGATGGTGCATAGTAGGTGTTTCATAAATGTTAGATGTTACTATTCCCAATTCATATGTAAGCTTTGGAGCAGCCCATCTTTTTCTTTCACCATTCAACCCAAGTACACCCTATACAAGAAACTCTTTGATTAATCTGAAATGCCTATCTGTTGCATACCACCCAAATGCACTTCATTTCTGGATATCAACATTTTAACAAACTCATTCTCTAACACTATCCTGGGGAATTGGTCACATCAATAGAGAAGGAAGTTTACTGCAGGAAATCAAGGAGCTGTCTTGTGACACAATGACTCAGTTATACATTCAACATTCTGACAGCAAGTATTTATTGAGCACTTATTATGTGCCAGGCATCATGTTTCACATGCCTTGCCCTAGAGCCCCACACAGGAGAATTAGGTGGAGGGTGATTGATTTAAGAGTCTCAGAAAGATCAACCTTTGTCTCCAATCTTTCTCCTCCTGACTGCTTGAAAGATTTAGCACTGATTTCACTTCTTCAAACCCTTCTTAAGGTGATGCATTCTGGTGGGTCAAAGTTCTAGGCTACCTAGAGAGGTCATACATTAGATATTTAATAGCAGTGAGAAGTCCACTATCTGATTAACTCATTTTCTGGAGCAAATGGATCCATAAAGGGCTTTGGTGGGGCTGTGAACACTGGAAACCACGTGTTTGTCAATTTGTGCATTTTTCCCTAGGAGTTCTATGTCAGAAAACATAAGAATTAGATAATAGGACAATCTTCCCAATACAAAACACCTAAAACATAGCAAAGATTCTTTTACATGCATAGCAGAGTTTGAAGAAAAAAAAAAAGGGGGGGGGGGGGGGCGGAATCTATAGGGGCAAAAGACAAACAAACATACAAAGCAAAGAACAAAACATGTGCTGTTGTAGGTGTTGTCAGTGAAGCTGTGGCTGTCCTGAGTGTGCTGACCAATCCTGATAACCGAAACCTGGTGTACAGCAGGGCCCTCAAGGCTATGCTTTCCAGGAAGGGTGGGCCAGGAGAAATCTTGCCACCAGCAAAGGGAGGGGTCAGTGATATGTGTTTGTCTCTACCTGCATTCTTGACTTGAATAAACAGTTTCCAGTGAGACTTTGCGCTTCCGGTGAATTTGAGAGTAAAATGTATACTACACGTGGTCTGGGAAGACACAAGAGGGAACATTAACAAAAATTGGAAATGGATTGGTGTTTCTTTGAAGGAGCTTTGTACAAAGCTCCTCTGGAGGAGTTCCCCCTCACCCCAGGCTACATAGGATTCCAACACAAAAAGTTTGGACAAGTAGAGCTCAAATTAAAAAAAAAAAAAAAAAAAGCTAGGGAATTCCCTGGAGGTCCAGTGGTTAGGACTACGAGCTCAGGGTTCAATCCCTGGTTGGGGAACTAAGATCCCCCACAAGCTGCAAGGCGCGGCCACAAAAGAGCACAAAAAAAATCTAAAAAAACATAGAAAAAATCTCTATGAACAAATGTCAGCAGACCCAATAAGTAGCTGCATAAGAGGCTCTCCAACTCTGATAATAGAATTATTAGGTACAGAGTAAAAAAAAAACAAAACTTTTTTCTTAATGTTTAAGAAAACTAAGAAGAAACTGAAAACATGAGAAAAGGACCATATGCTACCAAAAAAAGATGAAGGAGGTTTGAAAAACAAATCAAATTGAACATCTAAAAATGAAAGCCATAATAGTCACAATTAAAAACTAAATGGGCAAGTTAAACAGAAGATTTAGATAGAATGGAAGACAAAATTGGTGAACTAAAAAAAGAAAAAAAATCTAAAAAATTACACAGAATGTAGTAGAGAGAGACAGAAATATGGAAAATATGAAGGAAAAATTAAGGGACATGATGATCAGAATGAGTAGGACTAATATTCATCGAATTGGCATTCTATAAGGAGAAAATGGAATAAAAAGAGGCCAAGAGGGCTTCCCTGGTGGTGCAGTGGTTGAGAGTCCGCCTGCCGATGCAGGGGACACGGGTTCGTGCCCCGGTCCGGGAAGATCCCACATGCCGCGGAGCGGCTGGGCCCGTGAGCCACGGCCACTGGGCCTGCGCATCTGGAGCCTGTGCCCCGCAACGGGAGAGGCCACAGCAGTGAGAGGCCCGCGTACCGCAAAAAAATATAAATAAATAAATAAATAAATAAATAAATAAAGAGGCCAAGAGATGGTGGCTGAGTATTGTCCAGAAGCAATGAATGACATGAATCCTTACCTTCTATGATTAATGTAAGCTAGATGACAAAGGAATAATATATATATATACACACACACACACACACACACATATATATATATATATTTTTTTTTCACTGTGGTCTCCAGGACCTTTATTCAGGAAGGTACAGAGCACCTGCAGTCCGTTTGACAGGCACTGTGCAGGGCTTTGTAACGGCTCAGTTTTCTCCAAAGGTGTAGTGGGGAGAGGGGTGCAGAAGGAAGGAGAACGCTCAGGGGAGTTCTCTCCTCCAGAAAAAGGCACTGGCAGGGGGTGAGCACCCTGCTTCTTCCCAAGCAATGGCCTGGGTTATATACACACGGGGCTTGACCAGACGCAGAGAAACTCAAAGCTAAATACAGCTAACCATGGAAAGGGTCCCTGGCGCAGGGTGGGGAGGAAGGGCGGGGGTGGGGGGGGGGCAGTGGCAGTGGCCAGGGCTGCATCTGGGCTCTTTCCATTGGGTGGAAAAGGAAGTTCAGAAAGAAGGCAAAGCTTTAAAGGAGAAACAGAATGCAGCCTCTCAGACTGTGTCTTGTGCAATTAAAAAAACCGACAAAATAAATATAACTTGAAAACTTCTTATATGACACTAAAGGCGTATCTGGGACAAGCAGTTGAGAAACCTCCTCCACTGCTGAGCAGTGTTGAACCCCAAGAGCCCCGGGTCCCCACGAGGACAGGAAAGGACGCCCACTTACCTGTGCGCAGGTGTGTACACCTCATCCCACCCTCCTGGCACCTGCACAGCCAGGACCCAAGGAGTCCCTGCCTGGACCAGGCTGGCTGGGGAAGGTTTTCAGACTGCCTGGGCAGAAGCTTTGGGAAATCCCATTCCAGGATCCATCTATCTCGCTCCGTCAAGGGAGTGGGGGACAGAAGGGAGAATGGGTTGAGAGAGACAGTAGGTGTGCAGGAGAACTAGCATGGGAACTACAAGACCCCCTAACACCTAATAGAATAACCCTAGAAAGATGCCACTTTCTACCATTCACATATATACTGTAATTCAAAGCAAAGGATCGCCAGAAACAGGCCCTATGGGCCTCTTTTAATGAACAAGTCACTGGCATATTAGCACATTGTTTGCAAACAACTGGTGCCTATTTAAAGTACTTGGAAAGTTTGTTCTCTTAAATTGGTTAAGCTGGTTCCCTGTAATTTTTGTTCATAGCATTAATTTGCTTTAGCAAATTTTTTTCCTAGATAGAATGAGGGTAACTTGGCCAGCCCAGAGTTGTAGAACTTTTACATCTGAATTAATGACGTCCCTTCCCCACAGACAGCTGCAGCACAGACCCCCGGGGTCCCTTCTGACCCAGCTGACTACAGCTCCCAAGACCCCGAGCTGACTTTGGCGCTTCTGCCTTCTAGGGTCATAAAAATATGGAACGCTTCACGAATTTGCGTGTCATCCTTGCACAGGGGCCATGCTAATCTTCTCTGTATCAAGGAATAATATATATTTGTGTGTGTGTTGTGTTTTTTTTTGCGGTACGCGGGCTTCTCACTGTTGTGGCCTGTCCCGTTGCGGAGCACAGGCTCCGGACACGCAGGCTCAGCTGCCATGACTCACGGGCCCAGCCGCTCCGCAGCATGTGGGATCTTCCCGGACCGGGGCACGAACCCGTGTCCCCTGCATCGGCAGGCAGACTCTCAACCACTGCGCCACCAGGGAAGCCCAAGGAATAATATTTTTAAATGTCTGAGAGTAAATATCTAGCAAACTAGAATTTATACTTAGCCAAATTAGCATTTAAAAGTAAGAACATACATAGAATGGAAGAAAATATTTGCAAACCATGTATCTGATAAGGGACTTGTATAAACAATATATAAAGAACACTTACAACTCAACAATAAAAAGACAAATAACCCAATTTAAAAGTGGGTAAAGGAGTTGAATGGACATTTCTCCAAAGAAGATATACAAATAAACAATATACATATGAAAAGATGCTCAACATCGTTAGACATTTAGGGAACTCAAAATCATGATGAGATACCACTTCACAACCAGTAGGGCAATGGAAATAAAAAAGGAAGACAATAAAAAGTGTTGAGGGCTTCCCTGGTGGCGCAGTGGTTGAGAGTCCGCCTGCCGATGCAGGGGACACGGGTTCGTGCCCCGGTCCGGGAAGATCCCACATGCCGCGGAGCGGCTGGGCCCGTGAGCCATGGCCGCTGAGCCTGCGCGTCCGGAGCCTGTGCTCTGCAACGGAAGAGGCCACAACAGTGAGAGGTCCGCGTACCGCAAAAAAAAAAAAAAAAAAAAAAAAAAGTGTTGACAAGAATATGGAGAAACCCTTATACATTGCTAGTGGGGTTGTAAAATGATGCAGCCACTTTGGAAAACAGTTTGGCAGTTCCAGGAAATAGTAAATATAGAGTTACCACTCTTAGTTATACACTCAAGA